TAAAATTATTTGTGACAAAACAATTGGATTTAAATAGTGTTTCTCCTGTAACATCTATATTCCATCACAAAAAAATAAAACAAAATCTTTTAATGTGACAAAAAAAAAAATCGTCACAAATTTATTTGTGATAGATAGAAATTTTAAGTTTTTAATAATTTTATCCCAATTTTAAAAAATTCTCTAAAAATAAAATTTTTTAAAAATTTCAATACAGTTTTTAATAGTTTTATTAATTTAAAATATATATTTAATTCAAATATTTTTAAATAATAATAATTATTATAATAAGACCAATAATAAAATTATTTAACCCAAGTCCAACACTTCAAGACTTTAAAAATTTGACTAACATCTTTTAAATCTTTCTTTATGTAAAGTATTTGTAAGCTTTACTTTTTGCTTTTAAGCGATGTGGGATTTAGGCATTTTCTTATATAAAGTATTAATAAGCTTTACTTGTTATATTTAGGTGATGTGAGATTTTTTTATTTTACAATTTTACTCATATACCAATAGAAGAATAAAATATCTATCAAATAAAAACGAAAAGAACTCATTCAAGATAAAATAAAAAGTAATACATTATAAATTTATATCGAGGTTATGGTTATCAATTTATTTTAAACAATACAAGTTAATTTTTATTAATATTTGGAGTACAATGGGCACTCTTGAACGTATATATGTATAACTCTAATGATCATATCACTTCTAAATATAAATGTATAACACACGATTATTCTTAATTAACCACAATGATCGTACATAAGCAAACCATTCCACTTCCTAGTTCCTACCCTTCTCTCACTCTCTTATTTGATGTTAACCCCAAGTATTGACAAAAAAACTTCTTGACAGCTATCAAACATAAACCTCATCGCTTCAAACACTTTCTCAATGAGGCATAGGCGACTTAACAATAAGAACAAATGATGGACATTTCCAATTCAATCATCACACATTTCACATTTTATCAAGTTGTAATTATGCAAAAGCCCCGCTCTTGAATTAATTATGATCATTAATTAAATGCAATTTCACTCATGAAGTTGTCAGTGCAAGTATGGTGTCCCTATATATGATTATGTGCAATATAAGGTATTCCTAGTACAAGTATGTTGTATGCTTTTATCTCTATCTATATGCTTGAGTGAGGTAACCTTTTGTAGATTTAATAATAGTACAAGGATCCAATATTAATGTAATTCTATTTGTAAAGGTAGGAGTATCCTTTATTCTCCAATAATAAAATTTGTTGTTTAAAGAAATTAATATAAAAACTCCATAGGAATGTGTATTTCTTTGGATTTGGTATAAGAATTGGTATAAGAAATAATTAAATCACTGATGTACCAAAAAAAAAAGAAGAAATAATTAAATGTTTCATGAATAGATAATAAATAAGATATTTAATAAAATTAGGAGGGTCTTGGCTCATTGTGGTTTTTATGGTATTAGAGGAATAAAAAAGTTATATGAGAACAAAGATGTAGGCAGTGCACATTTTTTTAAATTAATTTAGTTGAAATTTTATATTTTAATAAAATTCCTTTTCACTAATGTGTGATTGCTATTATTGTCACAATTTTTTTTTTTATTTCTCAAGTTCAATTATAGCCTAATTGTGACAAAAAAATTCATTATTTATTGTGATTTTCTTTGGTGACAAATTGTATATATCATTACAAAATATAATTGCTACAAATGAAAAAGTTTAGTCACAAATAAAATTTAGTCTACGTGACAAAAATCAATTGTTTGTAACTAATATTTTATTAGTAAGTAATAGCTAACTTATAGTGATGATTTTGATTGTAACAAATTTATGTTATTTATTGTAATGAATCTTTTGTAATTGAATGTGAGTTTTATGTCAAAATTATATATTTGAATTTTGAAAATGAGTATTAGAGACTAATATCTTGAATTGCTTACAAATATAAAGGATATTAGTGACGAATTAGAAATCAATCACTATTTTTAGTCACAAAAAGTCTATTTTCTCATAGTGATAACAGCATTAATCTTAAATTTTTACAAGTGTCCCTTATGCAACCACCATGTCTCCTTCAAAAGCTTATGTCGATTTAGATATTCCAGAAGTTAAGGAGCTTATAGACAGGTAAATATTAATTCCTTTCTTCTTTTTTTTTTTTTTGGTTTTTTATGAAATTTTTATATGATATTCATTGATTTCTAATATTTAATAATTTAAATTATCAGGTAAGGTCCTCACAATTTAAATGTTGAATTGGAGGCTAATGTCTTCTCAAAGGAAAAGTGTTTTGCGCCTATTTCTTCCCACCCAAAGATTATTATATTTGATTTAATTTAGAAGAGTGCTTTAGAGGATCAAATGAGTTTTTATTATTATGTTTAAATTATATTATTATTATTATATTTATTTTGCTGGATTGTTTGTATGAATTGTAAAATGCAGGATGGTCAAAGGTTTGAAGTTGTAGCCTAAGTTGTTGGATTTGATGTTGATGGTAGGTGGCTTTACACTAGCCAAAAATGTACCTACATGCTACCACCTTCTTATACAAACAAAGGATGCAAAGTTTGCTATCTTTGATTCTTCCCATTTAATGATATGGTATGTATTTTTATGCTATAAAGGTTTGGTTTGTGGCTTTTTCTAATTTTTTGTTATTAACTTTTAATGTTTTGTTCTATAGGTATCATCTAAAAACGTGAAGGATGATAGTGATGTGGCAATATTTATTTTATTTGGAAAAACTGATAAGAAGCTAATTGGTGGTCTAGTTACCACATTAATCAATTCTC